ATGCTCATGATCACTGCAATGTCCAGACTTGATTATGTACAGATAGCCGATATGTAGCTGAGTGCGGCGTGAAGCAACAAACAAACAAACATGAGACATACAAACAAACATGAGTCGTGACAGGCTCCGATAGGTGTTCGTTCGAAAACCAGATTCACCCAAATTATTTTATTACGCTGGTAAACAACATGTTCTCAAATATATACTAGCCACATAAAGAAACTGTGCACGGAGAAAATATAGATATAAGGGCACACCGTCCATATATGAAAGATAGGTTTGAACACAGCAATTATTGGAGACATTCAAACGCTCATGCACGTGCCATGCGATATGACGTCATTGATGGGGGCCTATGGACGTGCAATGTGTTACGGCACGTGCATCCTGTGCAGCTGTACACAGCATGTGCAACTCAAAATTCGCTGTCACTTTGGAAAGCATGATCTGTGATCATTCAAAAATTCAAAACTTCTCAGGCGCAACCACAAGCATATCACAAGCAAATCATGCCAAGATTGACAGCTGCACAGCGTCATGAAGCCATTGGAATGATCCGAGCGGGAATGAGGCAACAACAGGTGGCAACACATTTCCAATGCCATCGTAACACGATATGCCGACCACCCACGTTCAGGACGTCCCCGAGTAACGACGCCAAGACAGGACAGATGGATTCGAGTTACACATCTCCGACACAGGTTCCAAACGGCAGTAACGACGTCCCAGACAATTCCTGGACTGCGCCGTATCCATCCCAACACTGTCAGGAAATCGTTTACGTCAGTACGGGATTCGATCACGACGCCCTGCCATAAGTCCCATCCTGACACACCGTCATCGAGTCAACCGTCTAAGATTGTGTCGAAATCATGTTCGCCAACCTCGAATATGGTGGAGAAATGTTGTCTTTACAGATGAATCGAGGTTCAACATTTCCCACAGTGACGGGCGCCAACGTGTCTACCGGCGTTTGGGAGAACGTTATGCACGCAACTGTATTGTGGAGAGGAATCGTTTTGGAGGTGGCTCTGTGATGATTTGAGGTGGGATAACAGCACGGCACCGAACCCCTTTGGTGGTTGTTCAGGGCAATCTCACCGGTGTTGGCTACAGAGATCAGATTATGAGGCCTGTGGTCATTCCTTTCCAGCAACGTCATGGCCCGGGATTGACATTTCAACAGGACAACGCTCGTCCTCACACGGCTAGGGTAGCAATGGATTACCTTCACCATAACAATGTCATGTTACTGCCATGGCCTGCAATTTCTCCAGATCTCTCCCCAATAGAGCATGTGTGGGATAAAATGGAGCGCCGTCTGCGTCGTCTTCCACATCCTCCAGATAACGTCCGTGACTTGGCACAGGATTTGAGGAGGATATGGCAGGCCATTCCCCAGGCCTTCCATGCCCATTTGGTGGACTCCATGCGTCGCCGATGCACTGCTGTGATTCACGCACAGGGTGGTCATACCCGTTATTGACTTTGTGACTTTGTCGTTTGACCCCCTACTCCATTTTGATCTTCTGACGTCATCGTAACAGATGTTGTTCAGGTCCTGTTGACATTTTCTTATGGTCCGATCATTCAGCTGCTACAGTGTCTGCATCATTTTTTTCTTGCTGTGTTGTATTTCAATCCAGAATATATTTTCTCCGTGCACAGTTTCTTTATGTGGCTAGTATATAACCACGTGTTATGGTTGATAGTAAAATATCAGGGGGGGATTTACCCCTATTACATTTTTTAATTTATGTAAATGATATTGAAACATTTTTAAATGACCAGCAGTGTAGTGGCTACTGTTTGCAAGTTGACGATGACAATTCTTTTCTCTATGTTTGATTATTACTTCTACCTAATGCTGATGATATTGTTCTTTTCGACTAGAGTCCTAAATCTTTACAGAAGTCCTTGACTCTATGCAAACTTACTGATTAAATGGAAATTATCAGTCAACTGTAGCATAACGAGAGTAAAATTGTTATATTTGGGTCTTGGGCTTGTGAAGGTAAAACGTTTGAATTTGTATGCGGTGAAAATAAACTTGAAGGCGTAAGCGATTACAATTACCTGGGAAGTAAGCTCACTGGAACCGACGGCGACTAAGCGCGATCAAATGTTTGTCAGGAAATGGTTCAAAAGCGATGTTTTCCTTACTCAAAAAGCAAGAAATATAACTTTTCCATTCGACTATTTGTTTTCAGCCTTCGATGTATTGGTAACACCAATTCTCCAAAATGGCCTCGAAATAAGGCGATGTAAAAAATTCGAAGTCATTGAGAATGGCGAATTTAGAAGAATACCACGTCGTTTAAATGTATAAAAGATTATGATGAACGTCTGGCATAAAACAGCAAGTAGTAATCAGAAACTCTCACACTTAGTGTATAGTAATGTTTATCATGATTCAAGAGTGAGTGAGTGAGTTGGGTTGAACGCCGCTTTTAACAGTAGTCCAGTTATATCACAGCGTGTCAGGTTAATGTGGGAGGAAAGCCCGAAGTGATGCAGGTCTCAGACGTTTACCACTTCGGTAAAACCCACGAGCACGGGTATGGTGCTGACAAACCTAGAAACATAATCGGGGCGAACCGGGATTCGAACCCACAATCATAGGTTTCTGGCGTGCCCAAGGGACGCAACTCTGCACAGCGAATCGCGGCGCCTCAGACGACTGGGCCACCCGTGCCCCCCTGGATCTAAAGGTAATCTACATAAGTATATCAAATCTGAGCTCTCCTTTGAAAAATACCCCTTACTTAACCAAACCATATATATCCCCCATTAAAATTAAAGAATTTATCATCATAGATTCCTAGTAGAAACCGGTAGATGGAAAACATTTTCACTGAAAACGAACGAACATGCCAACTATGTACCTCCCTTGTGGTAGCTGATGAATATCGTTATTTATTTAAAGGTGAATTCTTTGCTCTCTATAGATATCTACACATCCCCGAATATTATTCCAATATAAGTTCCCAAATACCCATAAATTGGCAAAACTATTTTCCAACAACAGCACTGAACACTTGCGAAATTTATATAATTTACCTCTATACTCATGAATGCGTTCGAAAACCCTTCATCCTGATGTTAATTTAAACATACAATGTCTGTATGCAATGTCTTAAATTGATCTATGTATATTTATCTAAATTAATTATAGATTGTACATTTGTACCACCGTGGGTGGTTTTGAGTAAATAAATAAAAAAAATTGAATCTGAATCCATTGATGCCTGGCTTCAACATAGTCTTTAAGGTCTACGGACTGCGTTCGTCAGGCTGTCCTCCCACATTAAGCTGATACATACTACGTGTGTGGTAGGATTAATTGACGTATATTTAATCCATATTGACATATATGTTACAACTGTTAGTTACACATGCATGTACGTTGGAGCTGTTTGATATACATTTTGTGTATTGTTCAACCAAGACCTGTTGTTGATTTCAATTAAATCCGAACGACTCTAACAGTATGTTTATACCTCGATCGATTTCACCATTTAAGTAAGTAAGTGAGTATGGTTTTACGCCGCTTTTAGCAATATTCCAGCAATATCACGGCGGGGGACGCCAGAAATGGGCTTTACACATTGTACCCATGTCGGGAATCGAACCCGGGTCTTCGGCGTGACGAGCGAACGCTTTAACTGCTAGGCTACCCGACCGCCCCTTTCACCATTTTAGTACCTTACGATCCTTCGTAAGCAAGACTTTAAAGTAACGTAGGGTCTAAAAGCATCAATCTACGGTGTAGTGCCACCCACAAGACAACGGCCGGACGATTTCTCTGGCAACAGTACCGTCCGGGTTTACGAAGGTTCGCTGAATATGTTTTTGTGTTTTGTAAGTAATTTGACAAACCAGCTGTGTGGATAAATTACAATTTCCGGGAATAGATTTAAAAATGCTTCCAACCTTTAATAGTATAGGCGACTATGGTGTATATTAGATACATATGGTAGCACGTAGTCAGGTCGGAGGTCTTAGGTCAGGTGGAGTTGAGCATCGTTAGTTGAGGGTAGTTGGATGGGTGGTCGTGTATATATTACGGCAGCTTGACTCTTCATGAGAGTATCTCCGAAATATATCTCTATTAACCCAGCAGTGAATGCGCACCCGATACGATGAGATGATGATGTGACTGTTAACCTTGGAGTACCTCACAAGTAGCTTGGATGGTATATTCCCCATGGAGCTGAGAATGAAAATCGAGTTCACATTGATCCATTGACCGGCGTTACAATGATGTACCTCCATGAGTATTCTCTTGAGTGGAATTTGACATGTTAAAAGTGTACATATTTCTTTTTATTATTTGTGGTAGATTTATACATGTACGTGTGACTTTGTATCAGATGTTTTCCATCAGCTGACTAACTATAACTGCCTTCTGATCAAAACAAACGATATATTCCGACAAAATGTTCATGAAATGTCAAATCTGGCGTTATAGCTAACGCTGCGTTAAAGACTCTCTTAAGACTCTGGTTTAATCCTCAGTGAAGTCGACTAGAAAAATAGAAAAACGATGCCCTATTACTATCAAAACGTATCTATGAATTGTCGTGACATGCAGCGTTACCTCTACACAGTATATCTGTATATCAATGAAGAACATGTATGATTGAAACCTATTACATGCTCATGTAAAAACTCTTCTTCCGGCAAGGATGATACGGCAGCAAAATACAATGTTTAAACATATCGAAAAAAAAGAATTTGTCTCCGATAAACTTTTCATAACACCTAACGAACAAAGGTCCTAATGAATGGCATATGTCACCTCCAGATGTGCACTGGAAAAACGACACCACGCCAGGAGGGGATTATGTGCACATGAATAAGACGATAATTCTTTGCATAGTCTATTATTGACTTTACCTACAGTTGTATTGAAAGTGATATCCCAAATCCAGCCAGCGTGTTAGTTTATGACCCAATGACACCACCAAATAAGGTACAGAGCGAAGGGAGTAGAGCCGGCCGCGGAGCAACATCAATTAGTATGTTTGTCTCCGGGACGACAAACAACAAAGCGGTAAACACAAGGAATGATCCGAGTCGTCTGCTCCCTGCCAGCAGACGATACATTGTCGGGGCAGCGAGAGGTGTACCACGTCCGTCGTCAATTTCTCAAGCTAGTCCTTAGTTCGTGGTCCAAGATGGGTTGTAATGGCAGCAAAAGTACTCAGACGCAGTCGTCAACTGGACAGCAGCCTACGAGCGATGCTAAACAGGAGCAGACGACAGAGGAGCAGACGAACAACGCTGCAGGGGGTACGTTAATCAGTGAGGGTCAATCACACAGTGGTGTTAGTCTCGGGTGCTCTCAGCATGAGTAGGCCAGTTGTGCTGGCGATACTTGAGACGTACTAATTATTGGTAGCTATACCTAAACGTGGCCACACATTGACGTTAGGGTTTCAAAAAACAAAAAAGGTACCCGACTAAATCACATTTCTTGTAGTATCTGAATGATCACCTGTCTGTATGTCATCCGTATATAGATGTTTATGTAGGTATTATTTCCTCCAACCTAATACTAAACATCTTAAAGAACCTGATTTAATACAGTAAACTACGTTTGTAACGAACACGCTTATAACGAACTGACGGATATAACGAACTAACTTTTTTTGTCCCGACTATTTCCTGTAGTATATGCTTATAACGAATTACGGTTATAACGAACTAAAATTAGTGTAAGATTTAGTTCGTTATAACCGTAGTTCACTGTATCTGTTTATTATCGTTGACTGTGCTGTGGATAATATACGGCAGATAATAAATACAGTGTGGAGCTAAACGATACAATTCCATAGTCTTAGTACTTGCTATTTCGTTTCTGTTATTTAAAAAACCATAGCAGAAGTGAATAGTTATGTTTCAAAGTACAGTCATTGCATGCGGACAATCTATCCGTCAATGTTCTGAACATCATCGGTGAATAAGATCGGGACAATGTCTAGTCCGCATGAAGGTGTACAATCAGTTCGAGTGTCGTGTTCCGTCGGCAGTGGCTCATTGCATCACCCGTCACATAACCCGTCGGCCTCAACACGCCCGTTTATTGTTTCTTCGCATGACATGTAGCAATGCCACCGGTTTGTTTCGCCATGTACATAAACCACCGAATGTTGCATTGTCGCGTCAATAACGTATTGACTCAAGGAGTGTGAAATGTCCTATGAACTATATACAAATGAGACATATTGACATGATGGAATGTACATACGTTCGACTTTTGTTCGAAACGACATATTTTATTTCTACGAAAGGGTCAGAGAACACGTTAAGAGTAATACTCTTGTACAGTATCAAAAGACTGTGTAGCTGTCCTGAAATTGAGATTGTCGAATGTTCGTTCTACGGCTGTTTCTTGAACACCGAAACACTGGCAACTGGTTAAGGCACAGGGCTCTGGTTCACAAACCATTTTAGCGCTAAGTCCGTCTATCGTAAGTCTGTGGTAAAGTATGGGAGTGACGAAAGTCGCAAAGTTAAAATTGCTTTGTGGAGCGGGGGCCCGGCCATGGTTTATTGCACTGTATGAAACTTTGAGCTTATTGGCCGGAAGGAGCTTTGGAAACATGGTCGTATAAGCACGTGCGGTGTAGATGATTGTTTGTTTACCTAATTACTAGTGAACAAGTGAACATTACTAGTGTTGTAACATATTCATTACTTTAGGTAAATGATGCCTTTATTGGTCCCGTTACAACGTGCATGTGTAATCTATGGCCAGAACAAACTGATTAATTGCATAGCGAAATTACAACCAATGAGTGAATGAGTGAGTTGGGTTTAACGCCGCTTTCAACAATATTCCAGTTATATCGCGGCGTGTCAGCTGAATGTGGGAGGAAAGGCCGAAGTGATGCAGGTCTTAGACGTTTACCACTTCGGTGAAACCCACGAGCACGGGTATGGTGCTGACAAACCTAGAAACATAAAAGGGTCGAACCGGGATTCGAACCCACAATCATAGGTTTCTGGCGTGCCCAAGGGACGCAACTCTGCACAGCGAATCGCGGCGCCTTAGACGACTGGGCCACTCGTGCCCCCCTACAACCAATGGTTCAGAAGAGTTAAAGTCTTGGTTAAATTATTTTATTTATGTTATTGGGATTAGTGTCCAATATGACTGAGGCATTGGCGATGTGAAGTGTACATTAAAAACATCTCTCACTCTCTCTACCAACACAACCATTTCTTGTTTCATTGTTTTAATGCTAATCACATATGAATAACTATTGAAGAGCGTTTTCACCATAAATGCACTTTTGTGGACTATGTAGCATAAAAATACCTTCAAGATATGTCTTAAAGCAGATTAATGAACAGTTGAAAAATGCTTCATTGTCGTATGGTGAGATTACATTAAGGTTGTAAGTAACTGGCGTTATGTAATACGGGAACTGCATTTGTGTTCTCCGGTTCATTAACCAATGGTATGACTTCATGGAGTCGATCATTAATATATAGGGGGTTACAGTATAACCGTGTGGAGTAGGACAGTAGGACAACATATTAGTCATATCAACGCTCATTAGGTATTAAATCCTTCCTTTCGGTGGGCCTTCAAGATATGAGGGTGGAGAGATCTGCTATTGCCTAGCAACCAGTAAGAGGATAAGAAACCAGAGTACCAGTTGGTCCACTGCCACATTTAATTGGCCAATCTTCTAACAACCGTCAGCTTACATAGGTCACTGGTAGGTGGGAAGGTCATGCCGAGTTAGGTCATGCCTAGGAATATAATCATATGGTCTTCACGACTCATTAGGGGGCCCGGGTGGCCCAGTCGTCTAAGATTCGCTGTGCAGAGTTGCGTCCCTTGGGAACGCCAGAAACCTATGATTGTGGGTTCGAATCCAGGTTCGCCCTGATTATGTTTCTAGGTTTGTCAGCACCATACCCGTGCTCGTGGGTTTCACCGAAGTGGTAAACGTCTGAGACCTACATCACTTCGGTCTTCACTCCCACATTAAGCTGACACGCCGCGATATAACTGTAATATTGTTGAAAGCGACGTTAAACAAAACTCACTCAATCACGACTCATTAACACCCTTCCCTGTGTAATATGAATCGAGCGTGTCGATAGCTTTCAATTTGAATACATTATGTTGCAAATAATCTCATATATTGATAAATAGTGTGTCACAAATGATAATGAATCCGTGTTAATAATTAAGATATTCAAGTTAGATATGTTGCATTCATATGAATGTTGATAGATTATCCCTCTTCTTCTACCAGCTAAATTGTTCTCATGACAATGGTGTTTGTATTTTATCGATTCTCACACACAGAATTAGATAGGTCGTTCTGATCGTCAATCCAACTGGATAATATTCTTGATAAAAAGGGATCCTCCTCAATTATTGAAATTCCTTTGGTAAAGGATCACCAGCGTCATATTTCATCAGACTTGTTGTTGGGTCACTGTATGCTACAAAGCGCTCGGTTATTTGTTAAATTATGCTTGAATTATTGATGTCCCATGCTAACGATCAAACGTAGAGGTGGGCTCTCGCTAAGTCTATCGTTAATTGTTAATACTTAATTACGGAGCCACACAAATGTGACTGGGAATCGATCCCCATGTTGATGGACCATTGGTACAGACAAGAGAACCTTATATCACAGTGTCACTCATTACTGTACCGTTGTGTTTCCTCCCTATTGTGGTGGGGAGCTGGATGCAGTGATGCCATTCATGGTTGCCTCATCATGCCATGGATACAATCATCATGGCAATGACTACTTGTTGAAGTGTGAAAATAGACCGATTATCAACCTAACCGCTTCACAAATATTAACGAACTATGACAATAACGCTACAGATTGTGTGTGCACATTTCATACATCATAAGGTTTATGTGACTCAACATTTGTATAAAACAGATTTATTTGGTGCAACCAAGTCATATAATATTGAAAAGTGAGTGAGTGAGTATGGTTTTACGCCGCTTTTAGCAATATTCCAGCAATATCCAGTGGGGGACACCAGAAAGGGGCTTCACACAATGTACCCATATCGGGAAACGAACCCGGGTCTTCGGCGTGACGAGCGAACGCTTTAACCACTAGGCTACCCGACCGCCCCTTGAAAAGGGAAATATTTGACTTAACGTGACTTGTATGATTGAGTGAGTATGATTTCACACCGCTTTTAGCAATATTCCAGCAATATCATGGCGGGGGACACCAGAAATGGGTTTCACCCATGTCGGGAATCGAACCCGGGCTTTCGGCGTGACGAGCGAACGCTTTAACCACTAGCCTACCCGACCGCCCCTGACTTGTATGAAACTAAGAAGTGTCAGTGTGACACTATCAAGTTTCAACGGACTGAGAGAAATATATGGATACTCAAACATGCCATCAGGAGGTGCTACACGCTTAAAGAGGATTTGATTTACACCACTGCTTCATGTGTAGTGTTATCTCTCATACCGCATTGTCATATATGTACCAACACGCCCATCCGCTATGCAAGGCAGACAACCCCTTTAAACACGCCACGAAGACCTGGTATATATTAAATGGGTTAATGACCTGCTTCGGATCATTTATTACTGACTGAGCTTTACTTTTGTGGAAATGTCAAGTGTATTTCCAATTCTACACACTGAACCGCAGTGCGTTTGAAAACCTAATCCCTGCTTTTAGTTCACATCAAACGAGTCTGTTATCGTCAAATGAGTTTCTAAAGGAACGTAATTAAAATATGGCTGTGGTTCAATATGCGGATTGCGACACGCGAATTTGGATAGTCGTTAAATAAATATGAACGTAGGGTTACTCTTATAAATTATATTCAGTTTTGACATGAGCCTCTTGACGGTTGGTTATATTTAGTCATATTTCTTTGCAGTGTTTGCCACCACCTGCATGACCTTATCCGACACTCATTGTGGCCCAGCGGGCAGTTAAACTCGTGAAGGTCTAGGCAGTTTTACAGCGAAATTCTTCTTACACTTCGCGTTTAAATATTTCCGTCTTTAATATCCCTACTTCTCTCCTTCCAAAGCTGTGGGATCATATATATACATGTTGGTTTTTATTTCTGGGAGACACATCCATATACCATCAATACAATGAATGTTTTTATCGATTTTGAACAGCCTCAAAGTACGTGATTTTTTTAAAGCTGAACGGACTGGTTATTCCACTGAAAGCGAATCGAAGCTGTCACGCACTGCAATGAAGACCATCTTTAAAAGACTTTAGTTGGGATGAATTTGCGTTGCGTTGCGTTGCGTTGCGTTG